GGGGGGGGGAGGGCTGCGGCCTCGGCTGTCTTGGCTCTGCCGTCGGCCCCGCCTCTCCCACCGCCTCCCTGTGCAGGAGGGGACGCCGCACCTGCTCCACCTGGGACCTCTGCCCTCGGGGACAGGGCCCTCTGGGGTCAGCCACGGGGTCCTGGGTCACCCCGAAGAGACGGGGGCCTCGCCCTCAGGGAGGGACGGCCGCGGCAGAGGCGGTGGCTCCCTTCTCTGGGAAGGTGGACACGGATGCCAGGGCGGAGGAGGCCGTGGAGTTTCCAGAGTCCCCTCTGCTGCCTATGGCTCGGGACACCAGCAAGCCCGAAGCTCTCGGCTTTGCCCACCAGCAAGACGGACAGAGAACAGAGGCCAGGGCTGTGCTGGGAACGCAGCGGGAGACTGCCCTGTACTCAGCAGGTGCTCAATGAACGGTCACTGCCGCGATGCAGGAGGGGAGAGCCCTTGCTGGGTCCACCTCCTCACACACCTGGTGACAGGTGTGTGGTGCCAAGCAGCCACGAGAAGTGTGCCATGCGTGGACAGCCCTGCAAACACCGGTCTGAGAGCGGAAGCCAGCCGCGGGGCTGCGTGCACCCACAGGTGACAGATGTCCAGACAGCGGATCCTGGCTGCCAGGGCCGGGGGACAGCGTGGGGACAGGGTTTCCTTTAGGGGTGACAAAACATGCTGGAATTAAGTGATGGTCGCAGAACTCTGAATGCACAAAAACCCACTAAATTGTGTCCTTTAAAGATGAATTTTCCGGGACGTGAATCATACCTTAAGAAGTTAACAAGCAAAAATATTAAACACCCCCACCCCTGCCGCCATCACCAAGGCCAGCAAACGTCCCCCTTGGGCTCTCTGGTCCCCGGTGGAGAGGCAGGCAGGGGAGCTGGGGGGCTGCTGGCTCTCCCCGCTGTGCCCCTACAGCCCCCAGGCTTCCAGCATCTCTACTCTGTCCCCCCCGCTCTGTGGGGAGCACAGAGCCCCTCCCCCGAGTGCTTCCTGCACCACTGTGGTGAGTGCTGGGAAGGGGGTGCCCCCCCCGCCCCCCAGCCAGGACCATACACTCAGTCTTGCCATCCTAAGTCCGGCTCTCCACATCCACTTGGAAAGGCTGAAGGAGCAGCAGTTGAGGGGCACAGGGCGTGTCCTCACCAGCTGTGTGACCTCACGCTCATGACTTGACCTCTCTGAGCCTCAGCTTCCCCACCTGTACAATGGGCCGACGACTCTGGGCTGCCAGCCAATTCTACAGACGGGACACAGCCCATCAGAGCTGGGGCAACTCCGTGAGAAAAATGGGGACCAGGCATGGGATGTGGCCCAGAGGATGCTCCAGAGAGTCACTGAGCTCATTTCTTCAAACCAAAGCCCCACTGGGGTGCACCAGATGGTGCACTGCCAATGAAGCTCATCACTGCTGCTTTAAACTCCAGACTTTGCCTGGGGCCCCCAGAGCCAGAAATGAGGTCACAGGTCCTCAGGACACACACAGAGTAACTCGAGCATCAGGGCAGCCCAGAGTCCAAATACTGAGCCCCCCCCCGCCCCGCGCCCCAAACCTCGGCTTTCTCGTCAGAACGATGGGAATAACCTCGGGTCAACCAGCGGCGGACAGCACAAGCTCAGGCCAGCGTGGCTCGCCCCTCTCCTCTCCCTCCTGATCCTCTGTCACAAAGCTCCCGGGCCTCACGCAGAACGCCCAGATCGCAGGCTGCGGGGAGCAGGGTCCGCTCCACAGCGGCACACGCTGCGCCCGGCCAGCGAGGCCCGGCCGTCTCCGGCACGCGGGCCGTCCACCGGCCCATTATTCGAGCCGGACGCTGGGGCCAGCCTGGGGCAGCAGAGAGGAGACAAAGGCCACCAAGGCAGGCTCTCACGTGAGCCACGCCCGCAGACCTCTCCACCGCCCACTCGGCAAGGAGGGAAACGTGCCCTTTCACTGCCACATTCTCTACAGACGGGGGCTGTCGCCCCAGCATGAGCCCAGCTGCCCGGGAGCGGACACAGCTGTTGGCTGAAGCCCTGACACTCGGGGGTGACTCAGCCAGATGGCCCCAGTGTCTCCCACGTGCTGACAGTTGTTTGAAAGCTGCGCCAGCCCCGTTTCTCCGCCTCCTGGAATGCCGGGAAGGAAGACACCAAAGCAGGGAGCTAGTCCTGCCCTGGGGGCTTTGCGATGACTCTGAAGAGACCCCCAAGTCTCGGCCCCAGCTCAGGGTGCCACTGTGCACGCTGCTCCCGGGGTGCTCGCGGCCAGCCCAGGACGTCTGTTCTGGGGGCCTCGCCGGCACAGAGCTCACCGTTATCTCTGCTCTCCGGCCGCGTGGCGTGCGGTGGCCCCGAACAGCGGGGCCTCCCGACAGCGGCGGGGCTCCTGCAGCCGGACTGGTCAAGGAGTCCCGTGGTGGGCATGGAGGGCAATGAGGGGCATGCGTGCAGGGACTGGGAAGGTCTGTCTGGGTGGACAGAACAGCCCAGGGCAGGCGGACACCAGCGGTGAGGGCGATCCCTAGCAATGCAGAAACCGGGCCCCGAAGGCCTTCGCTCCTGGGCCACATCCACGCTGCCCGTCAACTCCCGCCTACCCCCCTCACATCCTCCTCCGTCCAACAACCACGTGATCAGCAAGGGTGTGGAGACAAGTCAGATTCAGAAATCAGCAGACCCCCCAGCCACCCCCGTCAGGGCAAATGTCTGCTCTGCTGAGCTACAGACCCCAGAGTCTACGACGACAGACAGAGTTCCCGCACACGTGTTCTTTGGGGGCCCCAGAGGGCCCGGAAGCCAGGACGCCAAGCCCTGGACATCTGGGGCAAGGCAGATGGCCGGCAGAGGCACCCAGGGTCTCTGCTCCCTCTGCCCGGGAGGCCGACCCCCTGCCTCCAAGCAGCGAGTCCAGAGGGTGCTCGAGAGGCCTGCACCAGAACCCGCAAGGGCCCAGGCCTCCCAGCAGCTCTGGCTGCAAACTGCCCGCCAGCCCCACTCATCCAGCCAGCAGCCCTTGGAGTAACACAGGCTGACGGTCAGCCCTAGAAGTGCCCAAAGCCAGAGCTGTAGTGAGCCTCGTCGTACAAACAGGAAGGCTGAAGCTCAGAGAGGGTCAGCGTTTGCCCAAAGTCACAGAGCACGTCACTGCCCAAGTGACACCAGGAGCCGGGACTCCGGACCTCTGGGGGACACCTGTCCATGCCACCACAAGACCCCTGCCTTGGAGGGATTAAGCTGTGCCCCCACTTTGGGGCACTCGGGATAAAGACGGTTTCCAGAGACCCTGCTCCCTGCCTCGTCTGGAGTGGGTATCAAGGCCTGGTGCTCCCGGTCTCCCGGGAAACATGCCACCTGGGAAGAGGTCCCCGGGGCAGGCTGGGGGCTCCTGAGGGACCTATCGGGGCGCAGCACATCCACCCTCTGAAGCCACAGCTGCCGGATGCCCCCTCGGTGGTCCTACAGCCAAAGAAGGACAGAGCAGCAGAGAGCGCGGGAAGCAGGAGCAAAGCAGAGCTGCTGGGGCCGCTGGGCTCACCGGACGGGCGGGGGTCAGACAGCGCGGTCCCCGCCAGAACGAGGCAGCACGAGAAAAGCCAGCACGTGTACACGCGGGCGGGCGTGCGAGCACGTGGGCGGCAGCGGCCCCGGAGCCCCGTGAACGTGCGGGGCGGCGGCTCGTGGGACCGGCTGCTGCCCCCCGAGTGCAGGAGCCGCGAGGCCTGGGCAGGAAGGAAGGGGCCGCTCTCTCCCCCGCTTCGTGGAGCCGCCCGGCGGGCGCGCCTCTTACCTCTGGGCTCCTCCGCCTGTTTGGCGAGCTTGCGCAGCGCGGCAGCAAAGCTGGAGGACGGCGCGGCCTGGGCCGACAGCGCGCTGCTGGTGGCGGGGCTGCCACTGGGCACCAGGGCGCCATTGAGCGGCGAGGGGGTGAGGGGGTTGACGGTGGCGGTGGTCCTGGTCGCGGTGGAAAGCATCCCTAGTGAAGGGGACTTGGGCTCATGGCTCATGCCTGAAACAGGAAAAGAAGAACCAGAAGTCACCCAGAGAGCAGGAGGCCCGGCACCGGAGCGGGGTCCGCGCGGCCGGGGGCCGGTGCCAGCGGGCGGCGTGCGCGGAGCGGGAGCTGAGCCGGCGGCCCCGGCAGCACAGGAGAAACGGAGCGGAGCCAGCGCTGCGCGGAGAACGGGGGCGCGACCCCGGCGCCCACGGGCAGCCCCAAGCCCTCGGCTCCGTAAGCGAAGAGCCGCTGTGCCCAGGACCCCGGTGAGTCCAGATGCCGAACGGCTCACGCCGGCCCAAGCCGACAGCCTCTCCAGGACAGCCCGGAAGATCTGAGAGCATCCCCTGACAGGCGTAGGGGATGGAGACCAAGGCGCGGGGCCAGCGTCCTCGCAAGAAAGAGAAGGCCAGAGGAAAGGGAAAGGGCCGCACCACTGACAATCACGAAGACGAACACGCTTCTGCCAGGCCCTCAGCACATCGCTCTGGAGGACCGATGGAGCACATCCTTTTCCTTCCAGAAAAGCAAACAGGCGCCTACGGGCAGGCAGCACAGACCCGGGATCGTCCCAGGCGGGATGGCCGGAGCCCTCCTGTGCCGCTACCATCCCCCCTTGAATCCCAAAGCCACAGGCACCCAGCGGGTCTGCATCGAGATGGTGCCTCCGAGGACAGAAGCAGGCAGAGAACACAGCCACCTGCAGACCCTGCTGTGGTCCCGCCCGGCGCAAACCCCGCCTAGACGCTAAAAGACCCGCGACCGCAGGTCTAAACCGCCGTCCGGGGGAAGCCCCCTTCCCACGGGGGTCCAGGTTCAGGTGTCACGCTGGCCAAGGAGCCGCCACCCGCCAGGAGTGACATCAGATGCCTTCCCAGGGGCCCCCGGCCTTTCAAGTCCTGAGGAGGCTCAACCTTCACCCTGCCCCACGCACCCCACTGATAACGGCCCGGCTCCCTCGCGGGCGGGCCTGAGCGGTGCCATAAGTCTTTGGTTAACTTCTCCTGCCCTCTCAGGGGAACCTGCCGCATCCCCGCTCCCTCACCATGGGTACATTCGAGAGGCGTAAATCACGGCGCATGGCCTCGCGGGTGGCACGGGCAACGGGCTGTGTGCAGGGAGAGGTAAACGAACTTGGGAAGCCCCAGACGGAGACCTAGGAGGGACAGCTCCAGGGAACACCCGGGGTCACCTGGGGAGGGGACCTGGGGACTCATGGGAGGGGTGAGAGGGCACAAGCACAGTGTCCCAGAAGATGACAGGGCAGGAACATGTGCTGCCCCCAGGCCACGGGCCCCACCCCAAGGGGCTCTCCGCAGCCCCCAGAGCCCACGCCACCTCTGCAGCACTCTGCATACAGTCCAACTCGAGTCTTCCACGCCTGTCCCCGTGGGTAGCCAGGTGAGCACTGGGGACGCCCACTGGTGGCCAGGCAGGGGTGGGCCCCTGAGACCTGCCCTGCCCCCAGAACTAGCCAGGAGAGGCCGCGGGCGCCGACACACGCCCTGAACCCAGGGTCCCAGAGAGCCGGGCCGCGGCGACCACCGCCCTCTCGCCAGGTGGGCGGCAAAAGAGATCTTGGGGGCTCGGCCGCATAAACGGCCACGGCAGGGATGGGGTGGGGGGGGGCGCATAAAAGGCAGTATCGAGGCAGGTGCAAGTTCGAGGGAGCAGCGTTCTCTCGGGAGAGGGCTCGCACCTCAGAAATAAAGGACCCGCACAAGCGCCCCTGTGCCCAGGCTGGCCTCCCAGCTGCCGGCGGGTCACGTGGGCGGCGCCACGCCGGGCGACAGGGCCCCACGGCGGCAGGCCCACTGAGCGGCCGGGGCGGCACCAACCCGAGGCTGACCCCGCGTGGCCTCCTCTTTCTGGAAGAACAGGGGAGAGGGTGGCAACCACATGCCCACAGGCACCGCAAGCCCACCAGAGAAACCCGAGAACCCAGGGGGGTGCAGGGTCCCTGCCCCAGCAGGCTGGTCACTAGGAAACACAGGTTCCTAACAAGAGTCCTTTCTCAGCCCAGCCGGTGCCCAGCCGGCGCCCAGCCAGCCGCTGGAGGGCCGCGGAGCCCGATGGACGCCATGTCCCGGAAGCTCGGCCCAGGCGCCCCTCGGGCCCCTGTCCTCCTCCACGGACGGCGTGAACGGGGGGTGCAGGACGTGCTGCCGGCCACGGGGCCTGGAGGTCAGGCTCAGCGTGGACCAGGCTGCCACACGCTGGGGCCTGAATCCCGGCTCTGCCACCTGTAGCTGTGTGATGTTGGGCAAGTTACTTGGCCTCTCTGGGCCTCCTCAGTCTCCTCATCTATAAATGGGGGATAAAGACAAAGTCTGCCTCATGACGTTAATTCCGTGAGGGTTCAAGGAGGTAAATTACGTGAGAAGCTCCAGAGCACGGCTGGCACATCCCAGGGGTCGCTGTTATTATCACGCAGCCGGTCAGCGAACAGGGGCAGAAACCCAGGTCTTGGGTGGGCGAGGGGCTTGGCTAGGCTCATATGGGTCAGGCTGGGCAAAATGGGACCCGACCTGCCGAATCTGTGCCGCCTACCCCCACCCCCATTCCTTCCGTGTCCGGGCAGGGAGTCACGCAGCCCAGCTCTCCACATCCGTGAGTGGCACCGGCTGGTCAACGTGAACACACGGGACACCCCGGGACAGAGGGGGACCGGAGCTCTTGTGTCCTGCTGCCTGTGCGGACACCGAGGACGTGACCCCACGCAGGACCTGCTCTGGGCGGTCCAGACATCTTCTGGGTCCTGCTCGGGACCAAAGCACCCTCAGCACCCACACTCAGTGGACCGACCGATGGGTTTCTTTTCTTGGGGGGCGGGTGGTGGTATACAATGGGGCACCACCCTGTGGGGACCCCGTCTGGGCATGGCTTGCACAGGTCCTGGAGGTCCTGACCAACACCTAGAGGAAGGCATCGCCACGAAGTGCTGCCCGGAGACAAGGTATGTGACGGGGGGCCCTGGGGCTCCGTACCCCAGGGAAATGAAGACCCTCCCAGGGACATCAGGTCACACAGACGGTCGGGTCACCTCTCAAGACAGCCTCGTGATGGGCCTGGGAGACGCCGCAGCAGCAGTGGACATCCCCCCAACTCCGCACTCACTCCCACCCTGGGCCTGCCCTCAGGGTCTCAGACAATCCTGAGAGGCCAGCAGAGCACCGGTGGGGACACCGAGGCCAGGAGCTGTTCGAAGATCGGTCACGGTCACAGAGACGACCCAAGGCCACACAGACAATCCAAGGCCACACAGCTCAGCAGCACATCTAGGACTCGAACCCCATTTCCTGGGCCCAGATGCAATGTTCTCACCACTCATGACACCACCTGACCAGTCCAAGGCCCAACTGAGATGCCAGACCAAGAGGTGCAACACACTCAGAGCTCAGGTACGCTTGACTACAGCGGTTTAGAAATGTGTCCAAGTCTGGCACTCATCCTTCAAGAGGCAGGAATGAATCCTCATCTCCCCATGTGGGCCAGACCTCTCAACTCACTTCCACTGAACAGGACATGACAGAAGCGTGGCGACCGCCAAAGTGAGGTCATCAAAGGCCCCTGGCCACCTCCCTGCGCTCTCCTGGATCACTTGAGCCATGGGGCGGGGGCGGGGGCGGTGTCAGCTGCCAGGTTGTGAGGATACCCTAGGTACCTGTAGGAAATCCCACATTCACGGAACTGAGGCCTCCAGCCAACAGCCAACTGAAGCATGAACCATCTCGGCAGCAGCTCCCCCAGCCCCAGGGGAGCCTTCAGATGAGATCACAGCCGCAGCAACCGTTCCTTTACACCAGACTCTGGGCCAGAGCCACCCGGCCGAGCTGCTTCCAGATCCCGACACGTTTCAGTTTGGGATAGCTTGTTACGCAGCATTAGGTAACTGCTACAGTGAATGCCACCACCACGTCCTCTATTGATCATGACCCTCAATCTCTATTTCCCTTCCTCTGTGGAAGTTCAACCACCTGCAGATACTCTGTGCCTTCTTTACCCCCCGACTCTCCAAATCGGGCCCCTCTGATGCCATCCAAGGCCATTAACCACCTCCCTCCCCTTTCCCACATTCCTTAGAAAACTAGCCACCACCTTTAAATCCTTTCACCTCTAAGGGCAAGGTGTCACCGTGTCCATTTTACAGAAGGGAGACTCCAGCCTTGGGCCCAAGGGCCGACAGACGGTCAACAGCAGGGCTGGGATTACCTGAACACAGCACCTGTGTCCCACGTACATAAAGCTGGTCAGGGCCCACATCCAGACCCATCCTGGGGCCGCAGCAGGAGGGCCTGGCTCTGCTCCACCCCACAGCCCACACCGCACGCTGCCTCCAGAGAGAGGGGAGGGGGGCCGGCAAAGTGAGGCAGGCAAAGCGGTCCTGCACCTCCCAGTGACCGGTCCCCGTGGCCCAGGGAGCAGATGTGGAGGTCTCTGCCCAGTGGCCCTGGGACAGGCTGGCCAGCTGGTGACCCAGGCGGACACGCTGTGACCGCCAGCTGCCAGCGCTGGGCAGGATGGTACACGGGTGCTCGAATAAGCAGTGAGCAGCCATGGGGCAAATCCCGGGGCAGACCCCAAAGTGTCACGGGCCCCTTAAGGCCACGGGTGGGGGTCTTCAGGTGACAGCAGGAGGAACAATTTTCTCGTTTTTAGCCTTTTTACTTCTCTCTGTTCTAGTTTTTCTGTAGTGAACCAGGTTTTTAAAAGTGGGGGGTCCACAAACAGATAGACTTGCCTGCGTGAGTTTGGAATAACCAACAGGGGGATGGGGTCTTCCCCAGACCGGGGCCTCCTGCGGGAGCTGAGGGAACTGGAGTGCCCCTCCTGGAACCCAAACCCTCACCGACAACCCCCGCCTTTCCCTGGTGACCAGGGTTCTGGGGGGCAGACCTACCCTCTGCCCCCTCCTGGACCAGCCGCCACCTGAACGTCACTGTCACACTCCTACTGACATCCAGGGACGCCCCACCCCCCTCCTTAAAGCCCGGCACATGCTGCACAGGC